AGGTGGAGTGGAGAGAAGTGGGACAATTTTCTTTGTATTGATTCTAGATGAGGAGAAGAATAAATAGGCTAGGAAGAAATTATTGTGCCAATCTCTTCCTTACCAGTTTTTAGATCTTTTTGTTTTGAATTTTAGGTTGGATGATTCACATTATAACTGCAGTTCATAGAATTTGTTGCATTATAGTTCTTTTTCTGACTATAATTTTCCTAGAGTGAACTTGGAGTAAATGCAATATTAGCTGTGTCGATTGCTGCATGCAAAGCTAGGGCTGCTGAAAAGGAGGTATAATTTCCTTGCCAATATATTTTTCAATTTGCCATTTATATGCTAGAAAATATTGACTTCTATTCAAAATGTTCTAACCAAAATAAAAATCAGGTTCCACTTTACAAACACATAGGTGATCTTTCTGGTAAAACCTACTCAATCCTTCCTGTCCATGCCTTCACGGTTATCAGCGGCAGAAAACATTCTGGGAATAGTCTGCCCATTCAGGTAAATAACCATCTTCTTGAGGTTTAAATTCTAAATATTTGCTTATAGTATCTTGTGAATGATTTGCTTGATATTCATCAAAAGCATCTTGGAGCCCCCACAATCTAAGCATTTTTTATGATTTTGATTCCTGGATTTTATCTCCATCCTCTGCTTCTGTTAAAATGGTCCACACCTGACTGCATGATGGTTTAGATTCTTTTCTATCCAAAAACCTTCTTGTATCTGTATGATTTGACTTGAGTTATGCTGCTATCAGGATATCATGATTCTCCCAACAGGAGCAGGCAGATTTGAGGAAGCCTTACAAATGGGCTCTGAGACCTATCATCATTTGAAGGTGATTTTGTTGAACCAAATTGTTTTGCCTTTGGATTTAGTTATAAGTTGCTTGTCATATGCATCTTAAATGGCTTATCAGGTATAAAGGAAGTAAAGTTTGTCATGTGAGAAGTCATGAGTCTTAGAACAATTTTGGAAATTTATTTTGGTAAATTGGTTATAAAAAATAAATCTTCATTGAGAAATTTGTTGTGGTTTAGTCTCCATTCTATGTCTGGCCTGCTATTTTTTTGGTGATCACCATTGATCTTATGGCTATTCTTTCATTGTAAATGAGTTGATATACTGTAGTTGAAGTTACTTATGACTTGATTCTTTGAAATGTTTTCCAAGAAACACATGCATGATTCTTCTTAAACCTTCCCATCTGCCAGTTTCCAAAAATTGTTGTTTTAAAGGAATGCCTCTTCTATCTTGAGGTTAAGGTACAGTATATAAAATTTGGAGATTTAGTAAATTTGTTAGAAGAAATATGGATTTATTTGGGTAAGTAACATGGACCTGCCTATAAAATGGCTATTAACAACTAGGTTTTTGACTGTTCTGTTACCTCTGTTAAAGGTTTCTGGCTTGCTGATTGCTTTATGCCTAAAATTTTCTCAAAGGTCCTGATTGAGAATGGATCTGATTTCATAGACACACATAAACAGACACCTGTACCTTTTTTGCAGAAATAAAAGGTAAGTTTTGGTTCTATTTAGTCAATTGAAAGTGATTTTAACCAGTCAGTTTATGGGAAGACATTAACAATAGAATATGTAAAAACTTTAAATTGGTCAACCTCAATATTTTTTTATTACACTCTCTTATAAGTTATTTGCACTGGAAATGTCATGCATATACTCATTCATTTATTATAATTGTTATTCATAAGAACAGGCTGTTATTACAGAAAAATATGGTGCAAATGAATGTAATGTTGGTGAAGATGGTGGCTTCACTCCTAACATCTCCAGGCAAGTATTGCTATTAAGTCTGATTAACCTCCTTTTTCACATTATTGATGAATGCACTCAGCCCCGTAACCCCATAAGGGGGAATGAAGTTTATCTTATGTTATCATAGGAACCTGGGTGGAATTTTTGTTTGACTGTCTCCTATTTCTGTTGGTAGTGTTAGAGAAGGATTGGATATTGTCCTGGAAGCTATTGGCAGAACAGGATATAATGACAGAATAAAGATAGGAATTGATGTTGCTGCTACTGATTTTTGCATAGGTGATGCATATTTTCACATAATTAGTCAATTATCATTCTGAAGCATGTGAGACCAGGGACAAGGTTTGGGGAGAAACGGCTACTCTACTGTTCATAAGAAATGTTGGCATTCATCATGCAACATGCATTACATTCCATTAATAGGATATAAGATATTAAACTGAATGTATGATTTATGTGCACTGTATTTTACAGTTAAAGGCAGAAACAAAAGCTTATTTTACCCTACTCAGATTGCATGTTTCTTCCAATTCAGAATCTAATTTTGGGTCCCAGGATATACTTTCATGTGTAGACATGGCTTGCTCATAATAACTAGGAGTTGCTTTTCTTTCTCCTTCATACAGGTACAAAGTATGATTTAGAATTCAAATCTCCTAATAAATCTGGGCAAAATTTCAAGTCAGGAGAGGATATGATTCAGATGTATAAAGATCTTTGCATTGGTATGTTAATTTTTTTGTACAGGCTTCTGTTTGTTTTTTCTGCTTTGTTCTTTCAACTATAATTTAATGCTGTTCCATTCCTTTTTCTTCTTTTCTGGTGTCTTAGATTACCCAATTGCGTCTATTGAAGATCCCTTTGACAAGGAAGATTGGGAACACAGCAAACATTTTTGCAGTCTTGGACTATGTCAGGTTTTTTTTTTTTTTTCATCCTACTGATGTTTGGGTCTGTTGAATAGCGTTTCCAACCTATTTAACATGTACAACAAAAGGCAAGGATATAGAGTTAATATTCCCACATTTTGGAGGTAAATGGAAGATAACCAACTACAATATGCTTTCTCTCCTGAGTTTCCTTTGTAAAAGATTAAATTCTCTTACTTCAAATTCCGTTGCGTTTTTATCTACATACCTTGTTTGACAAAATGATTTAATTGTTGGTTTTTGGTGCACCTAAATGTAAATAGGATCTGACCTGCATGAGAATGTACATTGATGGACTTGTTGGGTACATCAGCAATTTGTTCAAATCTCATGTCTCTGCTCTATATTTGACTAGATGTAACTTAATGTAAGATGGTTTTGCAGGTGGTAGGGGATGACTTATTGATGTCAAATCCGAAGCGAATTGAGAGAGCAGTACATGAATCTGCTTGCAACTCTCTCCTTCTCAAGGTATCTGCAGGATTATTGGATGAAAGACAAGTACTTTTATTTGCTAATAATGATGTTGAATTAGCTGAATTACCATCTTTTTACTTTATGTCCCCTATGTTATCTATATAAAGGCAACAAAAAACTATCAATTTGATCTGGAGCTGGAAAAAGGATGTATGCCAAAAGAATGTGCAGAAACTTTTTGTTATTAATTCGCTATTGGAACTTCTTGTTCTAATAATTCTATGTTCTGAATCAGATAAATCAGATTGGAACTGTGACAGAGGCTGTTGAAGTGGTAAAGATGGCAAAGGAAGCCCACTGGGGAGTGGTGGTATCTCATAGATGTGGGGAAACTAATGATTTTTTCATTGCAGATTTAGCAGTTGCCCCTGGTGCTGGGCAGATCAAAGCAGGGTCTCCTTGCAGAGGAGAGCGGTTGGCTAAGTACAACCAGGTTTGTGTTTCTATTTGTATAGTGCTACTTTTTTTAATTTATGCTTTTTGAGCAACTGCATGGCTCGCTCACAATTTAGAAATAAAAAGGCATTAATTATATAAAAAACTAGCTTCATTAAGACAGATCTAAAAGGTCTTCAACTGTGTAATATCTAACTGCTTTGGCTAAGTGAAAAGGTACGATATCAACAGGTTCTAAGTTTTGAAATGCGAGGTAATTTTATTGGTAGCTTGTGAGTTACTTTGCCAATTACTATATTTCATGGCTTCTTATTTATGCAGGCCTTCTGTCCTCACTAATGCCATCATGAAACTAGTTTAGGGACACAATTGCTTTTATGATATATACATCTATAAATTAATTAAATATCCAGCTAGGACCATCACCTTGAGATTTACCAGAAACCACACACGACTGTAGTTGTGATTGTAGTTCATGTTTCCTGTTCATCTTGTTGCATCCTGTAGTACCTTATTTAGCATTCCCAAGATCTCCCTCCCTGTATTCCCACCATGTGCTGGTGTGGGTAATATATTCTGTTCCATTTGCTTTGCAGTAATTTGCTCATACAGCATGCCTTCTCCTTCCTTTCTCTTGGCTGATGAGTTAGCCTGAGATAAACAAAGACACTATATGTCTATCTCTGTTGATAATGCTGTTAGCTCGAGAAAATTTGCATAAAAATAACAATTTCAGATAAGTAGAAAGCTTAGAGTCTAGTGCAAGCATTGGAGGGCGAGTTAGCTGCATAGTGCAACCATTTCTTGATCTACGAATCATCAACACAATCTAGAGCTCAATATTAGTCATGATAGAAATCAAGAAAGGGCAATAGATGAAATTAATGGGAAAAAAAAATCTTTTTGCAGTTGCTTCGTATCGAAGAACTCGGTGATCAGCGGTTTATGCTGGCGAAGACTGGAGACCCTCGTGTTGATTTCTTATGGGGTTTATAATGGTATTTTTTTCTTTCCCTCTACGGTTTGAGCCTTTGAAATAGCTGAGCCAATGTATTAAACAATCACTGTTTGCTGCATTGAAGAATATAAAGAATATAATATTCACTGAATGAAATTGAAATACATAAAATTTTGAGCTAGATTTACATTCCTGGTAGTCTTATGTTTGAAGATGGCAGTAATCACTAAATTATTGTTTATTGATGCACTTAAAACTTCTATATAATGATCAACATTCCTGCAAAATTTAGCATTTCTGCTATTGTCCAAATTAAACTGAACCCATTCAGGGACCTGAATATTTAAGTTGATTTTACCTTTATATTAACCTTTCTGCAGTCAGGCTGTTCATAGCATTCTCAACTCTTAAATTTTCAATGTATTTAGTGAGAATCTATTAAATTGCAATAGAAATGAAGACAAATAGGAAAGATTTGCATCATTTATAACAATCCAAGCATATGAAAGAAATGTTGTTATTTATCATCCATCACTAAATGATTGGCTGCTTGGTGAAAGCTTCAAGTGGAACTCTCAAGGGATCATTAATGACACAAAACATCAAACACATTCTAGTGAACTAGTAAAACAGAATCCATGTCAAAAACAAGTTAGGCTTGTGGCTGAGTCTCATCCTCATCCTCTTCAATCTTAGGTGCCAAGTAGAACCTGATATAACCCATCTCAGCTATCTTGTACTCGACCACAACGGGCAGTTCTGAAGACAAGCTGATTGTCACTGTATTCGACAAGGGAGTAGCCTTTGTAAATGAATTCATGTACCTCAGCGCAAATGTCAGTGATACTGGCTCATTCATCTCTATAATTGTTGCTTCTTCTGGCTGCAAGCGTTCATCAAATCAATAAAACCACCAAATTAATCATTTATTACATATCTTGGAAAAACCATGTCCAAGCAAATCACAGTGCTAGCAGAAAAAATAAATATATGACAGGCCCAAAGGACATACTTTATCTACAGTGGTATTTTGCCTGAGAACAATATTTGCAGTTCCAATATCACCTCTTGTGGAAAACTTCACACCTTCCTTGGTAACAGAGATAACAACTGCAACCACATTAAGCTCAAGTGAAAAGATGGAAAAAAAAATCCCTAAGATCTATAATTGACAAAATCTTATAAAGCAAAAATATTTCAGCAGTACCAGTATCACCAATGCTAGCCAGATCCTTACAAATCCTTGCAAACTCAGCTGATGGCATCCTAACAATAGCATGGTACTCTGCCTCTGGAATTCCAAGGTGCTCACCATCAATATCCATCAGCTTCATCTCAAAATCTGATATCTTGTCTTGTGCTTTAATCCATTAGCCCATGCATAAAGAAACGCATACAAAATGTCAGTTCAACCTTATATTGACATCAAAAGTAGCGAGTCTTTGACCCAAAGAACTGGAAAGAGCCTAATGCCATTCCAATTGAATAAACACCAAGAATCTTCATCTTGATTTAAGAGTTAGGGAAAAGTATTTGTAAAACATCAAAATCTTTTACATTTCTATGGTTTAGCCTTCTTTTGTTTATCGTTCATTACAGAAAAGAAACAATCTTTTTACAGTTTATACAGTTTCCTTTGCCTTTTCACCATTTTCCCAGTAACCAAACATATTTACAAATATTCCAAAACAGCCATTCAACAAATACAAAATGGAAATCAAACATCCAAAAGAAGACAAATTTCCAATAAATCCCAAAATTCCCAAACCTCCAAAACCCTAATTATCCCCAAAAACTCCACTATATACCAAAAATTACCAAAATAACTCAGAAACACGAAAAACTTACTGGGGCTCTCGAACATGAAAGTAACGGTATCGCTACCGTCATCAGCCTTGATTGTGATGATGTCATCATTACTGGCACATTTCATCATCTTGGACATGTTATTGAGATTCATTCCCATGGAAATGTTCCTATCGCAGCGGTAGTGCTCGAAACCTTCCGATCTCAGCAACAGAGCCACCAGCGCCACGTGGCTGGAATCCATAGCCTGCAACGAGAATCCCGTCGACGAACAGTCGAAATTCGCATCGTTGACCAAATCCTTAATCGCTTCCAAGACTTTCTTTAGAAGCGAACCTTGAACTAGCCTAAGCTCAAGCATTTTCGTATTTCTTTTTCTTTTTTATTTTGTTTTCTTGGGAGAAAGATTCGAAATTTAGGGTTAGGGATTTGAGAAAGGAAGTGAGAAGTGGAAGAATTGGGGGCTTATAGAAAAGGAAGTGATTTTGAATCGTGGGGATTTAATTGGCGGGATGGGACGTGTTTGGTTCCCGCCAATGAATTTAACAAAGGGGAAGGATTAGGTAGGGCTGTTTGTAGAGTCTTTTCATGCAACTTACTTCTGATTTGAGAAGTTTCTATTTGGACTACAAAGCCCACTCAACTTTTTCGCCACGTTTAGGATCACAATTTGGTTATTTTTTAATTAAGGATATGTTTGGATGTAATCGGACCCTAAGAGCGGCCAGTGGTCATCTAATTCTTTGTCCACAAGTCATTGAAGATGCAAAAAGGTTTTCGGTGCGATGATGTCGATGACGGTCGGTCACTTAATTCAGATGGATCCAATTGTCAACCGCATCGGAGCTTTTACTATTATTTTTATTTTTTTCATTTTGTTTTTTATTAATATAAAGTAATAAATATATATTATTATATAATAAACTAATAAATAAATAAATAAATTTTATTTTAATTTTTAATTATTTGTTAATAAACTATTATTTAAAATAATTTATTAATTTTCATAAATATTAATCATTTAAAATTTTTATTAAATGCATTTTTTACTAATATAATCTTAATAATCATTTTTCTTTTTACTTATCAAAATCAATTTTACTATTTATTTAAATAAATATTAAAATTATTATCTTATCATTATAATTCATTATGATTATGGAGTGAAGTTATATTTTGAAATAATTAAAAATATTTAATTCTTTAATAAATCAAATTAAAGATAGTAATTAAATGAAAATTGTTCAAATTAAATTTTAAAATAAGCATTTAGCTATTTTTACGCTTAACTAACATATATATAAACCTGTGTCGTCCAATTACAGGCCGTTATCTTTATCCTTTTATAATAAATCGGCCACAGCGGAGAGTGTAACTTAATATCTGTCCGTTGGATCGTCCCAAATCTATCAAGCATCCATCTACAACTCGCCACGTCAATTACTCGTGGCCTTTTTCTCACTTTACTCTTTGCTAGCGCATCTATTTTCCTTCACGTACACCAAAATCCCCAATTCCTCTACACGCGTCACGCCTGGATTGCCTCAACTTGAACCTTAAACCGCCTCAAACCTGAATGGAAACCCAGTGGAATGACCAAAAAGCCCACCAACCACGTGCTTGAAGGGAAAATTCAGCCGAATTTTAATGCACTCCTCACGTCCGCATCTCCGGAAACTTCTTTTAGTTATAGAATCTTTTTGCTATTTTTATTTTTTCCAAACCTCTTTCTGCGTAACCAAACAACTATTAGCCATAAAGAACGAGAGACAGAGAGCGATCTAAAAGACTTCGTCTTCAACGTTTAACTGTTCATTTGTTCGAAGGTAAGTTATAGATTTTATTCAGTTTAATGCCATGAATTTAATCAATTTTTATATATTTTTCTTGAATCGATCTGTAATTCTTGGTAGAGGATTATTTTTTATCTTATTTATTATTATGTAAATTTTATTCGGTGAATTTGAATTTAGCTTCGTTTTATGATGAGGAAATAGGTTTGGCCTTATATGTAAATCGCTTAGCTTAGTTGCTTAGATTAGAGTTAATTGTTTTTTTGAATCTTGTTTTCTCAAATAACAAGTTTTTAGAAAAAAAATAATCAATTAAATGTTTAATACTATAAGCAGAAACAATTGGTTAATTTGCATCTGTCGATATAATAAAAGACTTAATTACGCAAATCAATACATAAAGTTTTCAATTCAAAAGTTTTATAAATTAGTATTTCTTTTTCTAATTTAACCAGGAAGGTAATCGGAAATGAAATCGGCTATATGTTAAATTGAGGATTTAGTTATGAATAATTGTTTCACAATAAGGTGAATTTTTGTTCTTTTGAGTTAAGAAAATGGTTTTAAATATGAATAAATCACGTATTTTGATTATATGGGAGAGATTGTAATTAAAGGTTAATGTTTAGGAATTAAGTACTGAAGTGCATATTATGTTCGTCTTGCCAGATGTCGTAGTCTAGGAGGTCAAGGTATTCTCGTTCTCCTTCCCCGTACAAGCGATACAGCAGGTCTTTCTCAAGATCTTTGTCAAGGGCAAAGAGTCGTTCGAGGTATTGTTTATTCTTCTGGTTCTACCTTTCTGCTGCTTATTGTGTTTTCTGTGTCTTGAAATTTTGACATATGTTTACTTGTTTGATTTTTTTATTGTTAGGAGTTCTGAAAGTGACGTTGAAAATCCTGGGAACAATTTGTATGTGACAGGCTTGTCGCCTCAGATCACCAAGAGAGAGTTGGAGAAGCATTTTGCAAGTGAGGGAAATGTATGGATGAGTATAATTTTGATTATGTGTATTATTAATTTGTTACATTCAAACTGTGTGAACTTTGGTTAGAAAAAAAATCATTTTCGTTTGCTAAGTAAGATCATTCAATCATTTCCATATGGTCAAGCAAAATTTATAAGTGCTCTCTGAGTTCTTACAATGAGAATCTTGATTTATAGGTGATTGATGTTCATCTTGTGGTTGATCCGTGGATGAGGGAATCTCGTGGGTTTGGGTTTGTTACAATGGCCAGTAATGAAGAAGCTGATTGCTGCATCAAGTATTTGAACCACTCTATTCTTGAAGGACGTGTCATTACAGTGGAGAAGGTAATAGATTCGGAATTCAGTTCCATCTTGATTAGTGGCTGCTTTGATAGTTATTAGTGATTACTCCTTGCTTAAAATTGCATAAGAATTGTGGATGGTCAGTTCTATGAGTTTGAAAGTTGTTTGCTTCTTTCCACTTGAAGTTTTTGTGGCAGCAGGTTAACTGTATGTAGCAGCTCTTCACCAAACTCCAAAAGTCTTACAACTAACCAAACAAATCAAACACAACAACAAGAATCAGACCATTAGGGTTGTATGCCCTGAATTTCTCTCTTTACTTAGCTGTTATGTCTCTTGCTGTTTCATTTATTTCACATGTTTATTTAAAATTTTCATATCTATTTGGGGAAAAGAAAAAAAACAGCCATACTCTCTTCAAACACCTCTTTTTTGTGGCCTGTTCGGTAATTTCTCAATCTAATGCTTTGAGTTTTGTTTACTGCAGGCGAGGAGGTGTAGGGGGAGAACCCCTACCCCAGGAAGGTATTTGGGGTCGAGAACCATTCGTGGTATGATTCCTTTCTATCAGTTTTGCATTTCATAAGTATTTTAGTTATCTGGATTACTTATTTACTTATATTTTCGAGGCAACTAGATTATGTTTTATAATTTTCTTTTCTGCAAACAGTGCGTTGTCGATCACCAAGCTACTCACCTGAGCGATCTCCTAGCTATTCTCCTTATTCAAGGAGCTGGAGTCAGTCACATCGTTATTCATCTGATAGGAGTAGGAGCAGATCTTGCTCCCGTCGGCACAGGTTCTACTCACGTTCTTCCTCCCCATATAGCAGATCGCCAGATGATGGCTACTATAGAAGACGGGACCGTTCTTGCTCTCCTGATGATAGATACTACAGAAGGCGTGATAGGTCCTACTCACCCGATGACTTTTACTACCATAGACGGGACCATTCCTACTCACCAGATGACTTTTACTACCATAGAAGGTGGGATCGTTCGTACACTCCAGAGGATCATTACGGTAGGAGGTGTGACAGGTCCTACTGTCGAAGCCCTGCACCTCGGTCAAGGAGAGCTTCAAGGAGAAGTTACTCATATAGTGGTAGCCCCAAGAGAAGAACCAGCTCAAGGAGTTACTCACGCAGCACTTCCCCTGTAGAGAGGAGGTCAAGGAGGAGCTACTCACAGAGCATATCTCCGCCACCTAGGAAAAGCTCCAGGAGTTCCAAGCAGGAATGGTCTAATGACAGCTACCCCAGAAGTAGAAGTGCAAGTCGGACTTCCAGATCTGTTTCAAGATCAGTTACTCCTTGACCTAATTCTTCTGCCTGAAGAAGATAATAAAGGATTTCCATTTTGCTTTAGTTCTTCGGTTAACCGTGACGTATATTGAACGAATGCCCTATTCTTGTAGTTTCAGGAGAACTTGATGTTTTTCAATAATTGGGCTGGTTCATCTAGAGAAGTCATTTGTCAAATGTCACTAGAATTTTGCTCAAACCTTTTTTCGATCTGGATTTGATCTTTGATGAGTCGGCTACCCAAATGTCTACCTGTTTGGCTTTTCAGGTAAAGGTTTATTGCGTAAGGGAGCAGTTTAACATGTCAACCACGACATTCTTCTAACAGCCGCGCAAATGTCAAGCAGTTTTCTCTTAGGCATCGACCAAAAAGAGAAAAAAGTTTCGTCCGAGTCAACTGAAACCAAAACGTAAACTGTATAAAAAGCCATGGCTTTCGATCAATAATATGTTTGGACAAGAATAAGATTGCGTCAGACTCGAACAGGAAAAAAAAAAAAAGATGGTTTCGGAGTTTCAGAGTTAAAATCTAACGACTAGCTGCCACAAGCGACCATAATTGGCATAATCTACAACTTCAAACTATACTGAATGCAAAAAAATAGACAGAAAAATAACATTCTCTAACCAAATTATATAAAGATTAGGTATAATATATTTTTTACTGAGATTGTTCATAGATTGAATTTTGATTACCGAAACTAAAATTCCAATATGATTCAAACAAACAACAGTAAACGTTATTTAGTAAAACAGAGCATCTTAGTTTATTACGTGTAGTGAAATCAAGAAGCAGGGCGTCTGGCTTATTTTTGTCTGCTAAAGACGATGACTTTGGAATGTAAATCCTTTTTTTTTATTTTCTCATATGCTTTCACTACTATAAAAGCCTGAGCACTGAGACTAGTAGGGACTATGGTACGCGGCATTCCTCTATGTTCCAGATTTCCTTAGCATACTGAGTTATAGTCCGATCGCTGCTGAACTTGCCACAGCCAGCGGTGCTTAGTATAGACATCTTTAGCCACCTCTTCCGATCCCTGAAGGTGCGTTATATGACATATACCATTTCAGTAACATGATATTAAAGCTCATGTAACATGAGAACATTCAGATTTAAAAAAGTTCAAGACCACCAATATCTTACTTGTAAGCTTCATCAATTTTTGCTTGAGCATCCATATAACTTGGGAAGTCATGACCAACAAGGAAATAATCACCTCGACCATAACCTGAGTTACCCTCTAAAGAGTCAAGAAGTGGGTTGTAATCATAACTTCCAAATGCTCCACTTCTTATGTATTGCTTGGCCTCTTCAAACCGAGGATCAGGTTTGAACTGTTGGATAGGTCAGAAATAATATCAGACAAAGGTTAAAAATGCAATTGGTAGCACAAAGTTAGAAGTTGCACTTTACATAATTAACAAGACTAGCCATGTCAATTTTAGGCAAAATATTAATGTTTAACGGTCATTGAAGCTGTTAATTTCAGTTAAAAGGGATGACTCTAAGCTCACGAAACCATTCCATGGAGCTATGCATATTTATAGCAAGTGAAATGTTCATTGAATTTGAAATGCATTTGATGTGCATTTGTCTGAAAAGATTGGGCTACAAAAGTAGAGAAACTTATATGAACAGATATATAAATAAAATTCATACCAATCCATTCTCTCTTTCCTTGCGCAACCTAGGGACTTCATCTGCTCTTGCACCAAAAAGAAAGAAATTCTCCTCTCCTATTTCCTCTCTGATTTCCACATTAGCCCCATCCAGTGTTCCTATTATGAGGCAGCCATTTAAAGCAAATTTCATGTTGCTTGTCCCACTAGCCTCCATGCCTGCAGTACTAATATGCTGGGAAAGCTCACTTCCTGGGATAAGCATTTCAGCTACAGATACATTATAGTTTGGAACAAATACCACCTGAAATTTTGCCATTAGCAGAAGATTGAAAGAATGATGAGTACAGAACACACTATTTTGTAGCATGAATCTGACATTATTGGAATAAATGAAGGACACATCATAACATTTACCAACTGTTCTGCCAGTGGTAACAGATATTATTTCATTTTCAAATTAATGGGATAAAGATTTATGCTTCCCTATTTAAGAACAAGCAAAGAGAACAGCGTCCAAGGAAAGTCACACTTCCTATATACTTATTTTTTATAATTACAGCCTATATACTTTAAACCGTAAAGAAGAATTAATTGCTTCTCAATCCTTGTTGAAGCCTTAGACTTAAAGAATTCTGTATCAATTTGGCAATCATAACTGCTTCCATGCAGCAATTTTATCACCAGATATATCAGAGTTTACTACTTTTCTTGTGTGTAACTTTCCATTTGCATTTTTAAGCCAGTAATGTCAATTGCCCTTGTTGCTTTGCTAAATAACAATGTTTTCAAAGTTCCAACTATACGATACAATAGCATGGTGTAGGAAAAAAGATTTCTGATTGAAAAAAGAAAAGGAAAAGAGTACTTCAACAGTTAGAGAAATGCACGTTCCATTCATATTTCATACACAATAAAAAATCTCAAAAAGTTGAATGAATAGTGAAAAATAATGAATTTACCTTCAAATAACTATTGACTTCAGGATCACTGTTGACTACTTCACCAACATCATTCACCAATTTGACTATTCTTTTAGCATTTGTATATGTAGCAAATGCTTTCCCTCCAATCATAACAGTGCGGGGAGTTGTGTTTTTCCGCTGCTCAGGACTCATCTCCTACCATGAATTAGTTTCAGGAAAGTTAATAAATTCCAGTGCAAATCTTGTCAAATTAAAATATAAAGTTGAAATTAAGATAGCTTGTTAGGAGGGACATTATTTGATCGTTGACTTTGAGTTGACATAAACATTAAGAACCAAAAATCAAATATCTAAATCAATGTGGTGAATGAAAACTGACATAGAGGATACAATTAGTTTGGTGTTTTATGTTTAATCTTAAGTTGTTTTAACTACATAATTTGATTGATGAGACTGTGAACGTTATAAATATGGAAACAGCAATCAGATTGAAAAATTAAGCATATAAACGATAGCAATATAAGTTGTAGCATAGAACAAGAATGATGACGATTTTTGAATTTGGTTGACCATAAAGTATACTAGCAAATGCCAGTAAATGAAATTTCATTAAGAAACAAATGCCAAGAAGGATCAGTATGCTTTGATACCTTTAACTTCTTGTACCTATAGATTGCACCCAAAATGTTCAGCAGCTGTCTCTTGTATTCATGAATACGCTTGACTTGTATGTCAAATAAACTGTTTGGATCAATGCTTACTCCTGTTACACGCAATATGTACTGTGCCAAACGTTGTTTATTAGCCATCTTAGCAGACGCCCATTCATTTTGAAAATCTGCATTATCGGCAAACTGTTGGAGAAGCATAAGTTCAATATGCAACACTATTGCAATCACAGGTTTGCAAAAAAAAAAAAAAAAGAATTCATACTCCAGAGAATTATTCAGATACATACTTTTCGAAGACCAGAAAGCAGGTCAAGGTTGGTCACCCAAAGGTCAGTTTTTAACCACTTGGTGATTATGTTACTGAGCTCTGGACTGCAAAACCGAAGCCATCGACGAGGAGTAATGCCATTAGTCTTGTTTTGGAACTTGGAGGGCCATATAGAGACATAATCTGCAAACAACTCAGCCTTTAAGATGTCACTATGCAGCTGGGCTACACCATTCACCTGAAAATAGACCAGCAACATAAAGTTACTTTGAAGATCATGCAATGAATTGCTGAACAGCTCAAAAGCAGTACTTTTGATTCACGAAAGAAGAAGAAAAACAGAGCTTTTTTCTCTCTTCTTTTTCCTAAGGAGAAAGATGACAAAATAATAAAGAACTTGAGGAAAAATGAATAAGTAACATGTGACAAAGCAAGATGTATATTAGAATCATTAGGAGTTCAACTCAATGACAGGTCTATTTGAAAAACCTTTCCTCAAAAGCATTACAAGCTATTGCAGTTGCTGATAGTTTCGCTGAGTACAGTTTAAAGAAAAATGTGTCTGTACGTCCAGAGTGAGTGATTTCCTCAGAACACAGTTCATTACTATTAAGATTTTTAATAACAATTTTACCAATCTTGGAGATTTTTGGCAAGAATCTAAAGCTGAATTAGTAATATGGAAAAAACTGTATACTTGAAGTGTTTTTGTTAAAAGGCTTACTTACCGTATGTGCAGATACCACACATAAGTTTGCCATCCTCACAACAGGCTTCTGGGAATTATGATCCAAGATGCGCATGCTAGGAAGCTTATGCTCAAGGTCAGGATGGGTGGCATTTATCATTGCAAGGAACTGCAAACACTTAAAATTTGCAATTAGCAGACTCAAACAAATAGATAGGAAAAGACAAGTGAATTACCCTCTTGTCAATTTCTTCTATGATTTCCATGTGACGAGGAAGGAGCTTCCACATTACAGGTTGTGACCACTTCTCAAGTGCTTCAGGAAGGACAGTGTGATTGGTATAAGCAATTGTCCTGGTTCAGTTATTGACATTTAATACTTGCTATTTTTACGAATGTTGTTGGCAATACATGCCAGAAAGCAACAGAAGCTACTATAAAGCACTCTTAGAAAGTAGAACTAGGCACCTTGTTGTCACATCCCATGCCTCATCCCACCCAAGTCCTTCATCATCCATTAGTAACCGCATCAGCTCAGGAATTGCAAGAGTAGGATGAGTATCATTCAGTTGTACAGCAACCTTGCTGGGAAATTCAGACCATTGCCATGAGCCCTTTCCACTTCTTCGCTCCTTGAATCTGAGAATAATGTCCTGTAATAATTCCAACATTGAGACCAATATAATAAATTATGGCAGAAAAAATAAACACCCATGACACTGTTGAATTTGGGACAATTAACTGTGTAAGAATAGCTCATAATAGCTCATAACTGTGTAAGAATAACTGGTATTCTTGACAGCAGCAAAGAGGATTGCTTCACCTACAGAATCATAGTACGTTCAAAACTAACAGATTTGAGCAGAAAACTCACTTGGAACTAAGATCAAGATTATTCTTGAATACAGATTACTTCATACTTTAATTCTATAAATCATGCGCTAATCTTTACATGCTGTATCAACCTCTATGATGTATTATTTAAATTTGTTCTTTAGCTTTCAAAAAGTAAAATTCTACAAAAGTAAAGAAACCTTGGGGGTAAAGAACACTGGGAGAAAAGAATTCCATTTTCGTGGAACCAACCTGTTGCAGCAACTATGATAAGTCATCAAGCATACAAGAATGCAGTAACAACAAGAGGCCAGTAACATCAGACAAAAAAAGGATTGGAAGAATCAAGGAAGCAGAAACTTTATAAAGGATTAAGGAAACAAAAACTGTATCAACTAACCTGCAATGATGCACTGCAGAGGAAAAATTGCTGTTTCAGACGTAAAAGCTTCCCATTTTCAGTAGCATCTCCAGGATATAAAACAGCACATATCTGCGTGCAAAAAGATCATGGACTGTAAGTGCCAAGAAAACATGCATTGGGATGCATACATGAAATATAGGCAAAAATTTTCGGAAACTTATATATACTAATCAATGGAATCATGTAGAAGCTATGTGATTAATATCATTTTATACCCTGAAACCAACAATTTAATTAATCAATTTATCTTTCCAACATTAGCACAGTTGGCTCCTTCAATATGAAGTCTTTCCAGACCAGCCTCTCATTAAGGGTTCTTGATAATTCACCTGTTGAGCTCCAGAATGAAGCTTTGCAGCAGAATCATATTGTCCGTCATTAAACTGAAACAGATTGAAATCCTCAGCACAAGCTTTTGCTTCCCAGAGGCGAAGACTAATTGTATTCTTGGTTTTGTATCCTGGAATTGGAACATCATAAGCCAGAGCTTGCATTACCTCTCCTCCAACCCATTTTCGACTGCAATGTATTCAAATCAAATAACATAACTTGATGAAATCTATATTTATAAGAAAACTGAAGCAGGAGATAATGTCATTCAGACCAGGAAAAAGTCAAGAGAAAACAGCAATAAGCCTCCATTTGGTTGTTTCTTTTGCTACTTGGTTTTGCTCCCAGAAGCTATAATGGGAAAGTGCATTGAAGACAAACATAATATTTTTGAGGAATTCCGAACTAAAAATTGAACATTTTTTAACTTTGCAACTTTTGAGGAAGTATAAAACAAATACCAGTAACAATATCAACCAAACAGGGCATATTATGTCTTAAATTAGCACTTACGACCCATCTGGATTAACCTCAACACGACCAAAGAATCTGACAGGAAACACTATATCATGCCTAACAACCTCCCAAGGACTAAACTTCTGCAATAATTCCCAATCAAAACAGAAACATCAGTGTATATTCCCAGGAACTCTACAAAACATTTGGAACGACTTCAAGGTGAAATGAAACTGAACCAACCTCAAGCCAATCCTCAGCAATTTCCTCTTGTCCTTGTTTGGTGATCCGCTGCTTGAAAAGCCCATATTTATACCTTAATCCATATCCCCAAGCAGGTAAATTCAACGTAGCCATGGAATCGAGAAAACAAGAAGCAAGCCTTCCCAAACCACCATTTCCAAGTGCAGCATCTTTCTCCTACAAAATTTTCAGTCATCAAAATAATGCACATTAAAACTAAATATTTAAAAAAACAGAAACAAAAAAAAAAAAAAATACCTCTCTTCTAATTGAAGTTAATGTGCTATAAAAAAAAAAAAAAAAAGGCTTCTTTCGATTATTCCACGCATAATTATTTCATAATTCATATAAAAATAAAATCACGCACCTTATTATATAAAAAAAAAAAAGTTTTTTTAAACTGTTTCACTATCATTACTATCAAAATGTATTTTTTTTAATTTAAATTAAGAATTAATTAACAAAATCAATGACTAATTTGATTTACGAATTACCTGCTCAACAATCTCTTCGAGTTCATGTCCTAACTTATTCAAAGCTTCGGCGTAAGCGTCTTGAATGTTGAGATTCCCAATCGCATTAGTCAAAGCTCGTCCTTGAAGATATTCCATTGATAAATAATAAGTTTGTTTCGGATCAACTTTGTGATAGTGAAGGAAAGTTTCATTCCATTGCTTCACAAAAATATCGAAAAAAAAGTTTCATAAAACATAATTAGTGAAAAAATTTACAAAGAAAATGAATAAAGAAACAAAACAAAAATGAAACCATCGAATACTTTGATGAGACGATCGCGAACGCTCTCGGCTGTACCAAAAAAGGCTTGCTCTGGCTCGAACTTGAACGGCGAGAAATGAGGATTGAACTGCGCGTGGTAATTGATATTCGATGCGATTTCCGTTGGCTTTTCGCTTAACGGATTCGCAACCGCCGGTACTTTTTCCGTTGCAGCTTTGCCGTCCTTCGCCATCTTCAAATTTTCTTAACAACAACAATTAAAAAAAAACCTGAAAAAAGAGAGAAGTGTAGCGTTTTCAAACGAAAATTCCAAAATTTTTTGAAGCAAATTGCGAAATGAAGATACTTTTGGGGGAAGATGCGGAAGAGCTTAGATTTTTTAAAGCAAAGATTAGAAAAAAGACAAGAAAGGAAACAGAGAGAAAATTAGAATGATTTGAGAAGAAAAAGAAAATATCGGAGAGATTTCAGATGAGAAAGTTTGTTTTTTTCTTTTCTTCTTTTGACATGCGGTGCGCAAAGCCACGTTCGTTAGCTTGTTTGCGTTTTGGAAAGGCGCGACGAGAACAAGTGGCCAGATTGATGGGAAAGCGCGCTCAACCAACGGATCTGAAAATGGTATGGGTCAATATCACAGGTTTCCTGTCTTTCTTGAGCTTTTGGGTCCCACTTTTTGGCTGAGTGGGACCCAAAAGCCGTTATACCAAAGAGAAAAATAATTGCTCCTTTCCTCTCAAAAATATTTATTGGCTTCGATAAAATTTTTAAAAAAATTTAATTTTAATATATTTAATATTAAATTTTAAAATTTTTTATAAAATTAAATTTTCATAATTTTTAATGTTAAAAAATAATAAAAATGTATAAAAATAATTTTAAAATATAAAAAATAAATATTTAAAATAAAATATGATATAAGTTTAAAACATCTCAAAAGAAATAAAAACAAAAATTTAGTAGAGAAAGAAATAAAATCAAAGGAAATATATATTTTTTTGCGAAGATGTTATCGCTTGAAAATAAAACAAATTATAGTTGTTAGAATTTAAATATTAAATTTATTAAATATTATATTTTAAAAATAATTGAATTTTATATTTTAGCTTTTTATAATAGTAATTTTTGTACAAAATTCTAATTTAGTACCACCTTTTACTTCATTTTTTTTTTTATTTTGAACATTTATAAGGAAGAAGGAAAAGTAAAAATGGAAGGGTACATTAATATTTGATTAAATTCCATGGAAATGATTTAGATTTTTTCCTATTTCTATGATCTTGAAAAATTTTTTATTTTATTTTATCTATTTTTCTGAACAGATTTATATTGCAACTTTAAATATCTCCCTCTCTTTTCAATAGAATTCAGCATTGCTTATCTTAAAATAATTTAACATGCAAATTAGTAACAAAATGAACTAGAATCTCTCTCTTTTCTTTATATTCTTGCTTCATTTCATCTGAGATTATGTGGTTTACAAAGAGAAAAGAATGGAAAATAATTGACAAACAATTCAAGAAATCATTCACTACTTTATGCAGAAATAAATCTATAGCTTTCATCCTCTTCTATTCCAAATAAATGCCTGTTATTCCTTGCATCTATATCAGGAAAATTTGCAGAATAGTGAGAGGCAGAAGAAGAAGAAGAGGAAGCTTTTTCTTTGAAATTTTTACGGATTCCCCACAAAACCTCTGCACAATTCTTCATGGATGGTCTAGATTGTCTCACTGGTGCAAGGCATTGGTGAGCTAGTTTTAGCACTTTCTCCACCACCATGTTTGATGCTGGACTTCTCCTTAGCCTTGGGTCCATGGCAATCACAAACTCTCCTTCATTTAAGCTCTTCATTGCCTGCACAAATAGAAAGCTCTCAATCTCAGAGATCGTTATGGTTGGCAGCTTTAGGAATTTAGCTATAAGATAAGGGAACAAGCCTCGTGGATGTGACAAGCAACTGAAACTGTACTATTATGATGGATCATGGATGTCCATATGAAAATAACGGTTGGCTATGAGTTGCTTCTGTTTTCACTAGAGTTTTATACATTTAAAATACCATTATGAACATAAGTCACTCATTTCGAAACAATTTAGGCTGTTGCATATTGGTTAAAATCCTAAAATTCGCAATGTAGGATTAAGATTACAAGCCTAAGCAAAGGAACTTGATTATGACTTATGAGTGTAATTTGAACCTGTATTCTTTAGACATATGCTACTTAAAACCTAATTTCAGGCTTATGAGAGGAGGCAGAGTTATGGAATTCCTATCTTGCAACTTACAGTATGCTCTTTTACATCATGTGTCTGTGTGAATGTAATGGAAACACTGTTTATCTCAGATCTTTTTTCCAAAAAAATTTCAGATTATGCTTAACAAAGGCTAGACAGCATCGTGGGAATCAATATGCCTAATACCTGACACATTCAAAAGAGAAGCTAAATTACTGTCTTTGTTTGTTCATTAACAGGCAAGGTCGATGTCTTTGATGTTCAAGCCCTTATTAAGATACAATCATGTTACCATATAAGCTATCTATAGTCCGAAAAATGCTCAATTAACTGCAAACTAGAGAGTGTCTCTCTCAATAACCTGTATTTTTTTTTTGTAGTTCTAGGGAAAGTAGGAAATACTCACCCATCGTATGGTTATTCTTTCCTTAACTGGTCTCTTTGATTCTATAGGATATCTTCCAGTCATCAACTCCACAAGCAATACACCAAAGGAGTATACATCACTTTTTTCAGTGAGCTGATATGTTCTAGTGTATTCAGGATCCACATAGCCTGCAGTTCCTTTGACTTGAGTAGAGATATGGGTGGCAGCAGGATCTTCTAAAGCTAGTCGTGCAAATCCAAAGTCTGCCACTTTGGCCCGAAGTTTCTCTGTGATAAGGATGTTCGACGCTTTTATGTCTCTATGGATTATAGGAGGATCTGTCAATTTAAAAAACAGAATTCAGCATCTTAAAAGCCTTTATTATGGATCCAGAACATTCGCATAGTGCTACAATTTGAGTTTGAACTTCAAAAACTCATACCATTGCATCAGGTACAGAGAAAGATATTAACACTTTGAACCATTTTACAGACAACGAAATGCCTAACGTAGATAAATAGGAAAGGTATTAATATTACCTGTGTATGTATGAAGATAGGTAAGTGCATGAGCAACATCAATTGCAATGTCCAGGCGTTCTGCAATTTCAAGCCCATTCCCCCTTACACCTGCATTAAGAGAAGATTTCTTACTAGTTACTGCTTATATTAAGCTATATTGAGCACCCAGTTATCTGCTACTATATGAGCCATTGAAGCTATTTAATTGAAAATCAACTCTTATCTATTTTTCATGCTAAGAATTAACCCTATTCTCAGCCCTAAGTTATAGCCTGTAAATCAACATAAATTTCCAGAAATAAAATATTATCTATTGTTTCTGCTTCCGCTGAATAGAAGTAGATACTAGAAACAGATACTAATCTGTTACATAGTCAATGAAAGAGGTAAAGCCACTAAAATTCTAACTTTGTTGCTTATACCCCAATTTTCACAAACAACTCTGTGTACGGTAATCAGAGTGTGAAACTTGTTCCTTACCATCAAGGTGTTCTCGGAGATTTCCATTTCCAACATATTCAACCACGATAATCTGCTCGTCTCTGTGCTCCATAAATCCAAATAACCTTACTAAATTCCGATGTTCAATCTTCGATAAAGCAAGTATTTCATTCTTGAACTGCAGTGATAAGCCCTCCTCATACTTGTCCTGTCACAGATTAAATTATTAAGTGCACATGTATTAAATACTTCAGCATCTACTTTTCCAAGGTTATGAGCATAAGATTTTTGAAAGATCCCCACATGTTCTTAAGATTTGTTGATGTTTTATATCCAAATGACATTCTAGCAACTGTATATACATGCAATGACTGATAATGTGATTGTAATCCATTATTTAAGACCAAACAACCTATGCATATATACTTGCATACCTTTTTAGTGCGCTTTACAGCCACAAGAGATCCATCCTTGAGCCTCCCTTTGTAAACTGTTCCAAACCGACCTTCCCCAATTTTATTTCCTTCAGAAAAGTTTCCGGTGGCCTTACAAATATCTTCAAAGGAGAAATCGGGTGTTGGGATATGTCCACTGGCAGAAGTGGAAGAACCATATGAACCAAAGGACTTGAGCCTTGCTGAGCTCCTAACATCACTTCCTGTCGAATGATCTGTTGAACTAGAAACTGCCAAACATAAGCAAGCTTATGATCAGTGGATATAAGATCAACTTTCTCGGACTAGCCAAGTCATTTTAATCTGTCTTATAGGATATATTCATTTTACAAAACTTCTATTCTGCTGCCGAACTTATAGTCATTGTATTAACAGGTGAAAGCTCATTGGTTACTCATGCTTTTTGTTCATTTATTCAACAAGAAAGAAATCAACCAGCAAAACTTACAGGAAAGTGTTTTGACTTGGTTGTTCGTTTTGTTGTCATTAGTATTGCCCTTTTTTCTTTTCCTAAATAGTAATATTGTGAAAACTCCAGCTAGTTTCCTGGATGCAGCTTTGAAGTAGTTCTGAACACTGTGAGTTTTATGTTGATTCTTGTCGGAGATTTTGCCAGGCAGATCACGCTGAGAAGTAGAATCTTGTTTTCCTCGACTTGATTGGAACATGCTTCGATGCGGTGCTTTCTTCATTTGCGGAGGTTATGGCCGTTTCCTGAAGTCAGTTTGATTTCGTCTGTTGCAAAAAGTAAAAGCAAAAAGGTCATCATTGCCTCCCCGTTCACTCTAGGATATGGAATTTATTTTATGCCAGGGGGACTAATTCAAGCAGATAAATTTCTTTTTCTTGTGGAGCCGTCCAGCAACGCAAGCAAGTTGAATCTAAATATCTAAATACTAATGCTAGTAACAAGTAATCATTCATTGCTATGGGTCATAAACCACAAATCATACTCTGTTTATTTCATATTATACAATATAAAATAGGAAAATTACTTGTATCACAAATTATGTCAATGCATCAAACATAGAAAATGTTTTTTTTTTTTTTACTAAGATAAACGATTTTATAATTTTAAATCGTATGTTTTCATATTTTTTTTATATCACTTTTGTATTATGTCATTTAATCGCATCTAAATTAACATACAAATCTACTTAAATACAATGCGATGTCAATCCCATCTTTAGCAGAAAGATACATATACATGACTGAATAAAACCAGGTCAACAGCATTTATCACTTCCCTTCAAGATTTTATATTTTGAGTTAAACCTTGAATGCACGGGAAAATCAGATTCACCAAACACTCGGACAGTAAAAATCACGTACTGTACATTTCTTCAGCTTTATACAGGAAATTAGCAGGAGGATTATTTCTTTTTACAGGATCTACTGCTCAAAGTTTTCTATGACTCAACAATTTTGATCATCTTGTTGCAGTAGATGACTCCACACTCCATCATCAACTAAAGTATATGACGAGAAGTCCCCAAACTTGTTCATGAAACTGTTGACCACAAATTATGCATACAACCAATTAGCGAAATAAAGAGAGGTAGAGGGTAGAATTAAACTCGCAAAGCAACCTGTCAGCTAATAATCACACATTTTATAAAGATGCATGATCTTTTTAATAAAACTAATTCACAAGTTTCATTTGTACAGTTAATTTCTATTTTTCTTTTTTTATTTTACATATGAGGCCGTAGCCTGGGAATAAGAGAAAGGGTTAGATGTGCTGGAATTGGAATTTCAGACCAGTTAGATGTCACCTCATAAAGGTGACCACATGAACGAACTGATCGAAACTCCGGGTTCTTCTAGTATTTATATCTTATAGTTTAAACATCCTGTTATTACAAAGTACTATTCACATCTACCATCTGATATACACAAAGTAATCATAGCAGTGAGTTCTATAATGCAGAATCAGTTATGACTTTAGTACCAGGTTGAAGGGGTTTGGGGGTTTATTTCATATGGCTTTGTCAAAGTAAGTTAAAGAAAAGCAAACTAAAAAAAATATTAGAAAAACTGGCTATGATACTGACCATTTTCATCAAAGTTGACTCTCTCTCCTGAGGAAAATATATTGTAGAAAAGAGCCGCAAGAAAATATAAGAATGATGTGAGCAACAAAAATCCTTGGAATGATCCTACCAATTCAACAAAGAAACCAGCTCCAACTGTTCCCAAAATAGCAGCGAATGTTCCAGCAGTATTTGACAATCCTAAGGTCAGAAATAAAGGGATCATTATTTAAACATAATCAAACTGTGTCCTGCTCCATCCCCAAAAATAAATTAAAAAAATCTGCACACTTTTCTACTTTTCCACTAGAATCTAAAAATGCAATATGCTCCTAATAAATTCATAGAATTATGATCTACTTATCATTGCTCAAGTTCATTTCTTCAGAAAAATACTGGAAGTCCAAGTACCGAGATATTTATTTAAACAGCGGTTAACAATTTACTTTCGTGCCATTAAACACAGGCATCATATACAAAAATTCTACCAGGCAATGCACATGACACATCATAAAGAGGAGTTAGCACTTACAACAAGCGCACAAGAATAAGTGTTCAAAGCACTGGTAACAACAATTTATACTTTGGTGGACAAATTTAACATGGACCATTTCACTTGTATCATGAAGTTTAACACAGGCATCATATACAAAAATTCTACCAGGCAATGCACATGACACACCATAAGGAGGAGTTAGCACTTACAACAAGCACACAAGAATAAGTGTTCAAAGCACTGGTAACAAGAATCTATACTTCGGTGGACAAATTTAACATGGACCATTTCACTTGTATCACGAAGTTTATCACTTAAGGCAGTTTATTCTAAAACTTTTCATTTGGAGAAAACAATGAAACAAAAATTGCATGCTGATGCAAAGGAATCACCATACCATGTAAAACACCAGAATAATGTGGAGCAATCTCCTGGTAACAGAAACAAAAGGGAGAAAGTTAGATGAATGCAAAAAATTCATTCAATTGTATAATTTGCCTTTTGATAATTATTCAGTAATCCGACCTGAAGGTTGACAAGAAAACCACTGTGACTGAATGCTTTCAGCCCAACAGCTACACTTAGCCAAGCAGATGCAGTTGATGGACTTTTTGCTGTAGTTAAACCAATCAAAGCAATCGCAGCGCCAATAAAACCAATGGACTGCAGTAGAAAAGACACAGATTGGATGCTTAATAAGTAGAAAGGAAGCTCAGAACTAAATGAAGACCAAACAACCACCACTTGAAAAGGAGATAAAAGCACAATGCAACATGGTATAAGTAACCCATTTTTAAAGTTAATAGTATCATTTTCTTCCAACATTACCTGCATGATCTTGCGAGTCAAAGTAATACTGGTACCATTCCGTATCAATGTGTCTGACCATAAACCAGCAAGGTATCCTGTCAATGCCATCATGCTCCATGGAACGGCACTAAACCAAGCTGCTTGTCTGAGGTCAACATGATGAACCTACACCAAAATGTTCCTTATTTGCACCTTATAATAAGATAATATTCATGCACACCACACAAAATGAAAAGCTTGCTGTTAAGTTTTTGCCCTTACCGAGTTAAAGTAGATAGGCATCCATGAAAGAATAACAAAAAAGCCCTGCAAAAATAAGTTTGCAAAAAGGTTGAGTATTTGCAGATATGTAAACATAAGTGACAAAAGATGTATACTCTCTGAGAATTTGCCATTGTTAGAGAACTATTTGCCCAGTCAATTAATGTAATTTCAGCCTTTAATGCATCCAAATTCCTATAAATGTTCACATTGAATGAAAAAAGGGCCAAATCTATAAAATATTGTGTTAGGGGAGGGAATGTAGTGTGGTTATGAAGATGTGAAAGGCAAGGCAACAGCATTTTTTTTTTTTTTCAACTTGGAAAGAGGCTTATGGCAGAAAGGTCAGAGAGCATATTTAGAAAATTATTAACCTTATAACATACTACAGGGAAAGGAATGTGTTTTACCCAGCTATGCATGGCATTTGCAACAATTAGGGACCATGTTGGCATTTTAGAAAGCAATCTCCTGAATGGAGGAATTATTTTGGTCTCGGGATTGTTCCCCACTGCCTGAGATTTCTGTCTCTTGTTCATTATGTAGTCCAATTCATATTTTGATATCTGGGGACTTCGGTCTGGAGTACTTGATGTTGCAGATAACCATACTAAAACCCAAAGAAACCCGCACAGTCCAAAGATCACAAATGGTCCAAAAATGCCACCTTGGGACATGAGAATTGGGGACAATGTGAGTCCTATTGCATTTCCTAGCTGAAATCCAGCCATTGCAATTCCAACAGCCCTGGCACGTTCTGTTGGTGGAAACCATCTAAAAGAAAAAGTTCACACAATTTCTTCAGAAATTTGGCATCACCACACTGTTAATATGAAAATGAACTTGCTTGACGGCGCATGATTAAGGGTGATCATCATCAAACAGTAAAATAAGCAGACCACCAATACCTTGATACCATGTTGTTCATGCAAGGAAGAGCCACACCTTCTGCAACACCAAGCATAGCTCTGGCAAAAAGCAAAGGCCACAAAGACTTTTCAGCAGCCCATGGTGTAAGAAATGTAGCTAATGACCACAATGCCACTCCCCAGGCCATCACAACCTTACCACCATAATAGTCCACTAATGCACCTCCTGCTATCGGTGAAATCAAGTATCCCCACAGAAAAGATGACTGCAACAAATTTTAAGTGGTCACTTAGTTTTCGAAAACATAATTCTAAAAAACCCATGTGCCCAAATTTGATCATGTAATGAAAACCACTTGACTAAGCTTAGTTGTTTCTACCAATTAGAAGAACCTAAAGTAAGAAACATGCCTGCATTTAAGGCTAGCTTTGGTTGTTATCTTTACTACTTGCACTTTGCTATCATTTAAGTTTCAAAGTAACAAAACCGAATATTTAATCGAGAGAAGAAAAACAACGGTCGGCTCCAAAGTAATAAAAGAGCTACCTGAACAATGCCGGAAAACGATCGGCTCCAACCATGAGCAAGCGACAACGGCACAATCGCCACTGACATCACGACTCTATCCGAATTACAAAGCGCCAGAGCTAAAGCCAGCATCGCCACCACTTTAACACGCTCAGACGTGATAAACTCTGCGAAACTCGATGACTCAGCCCCGCTTTTGTTCGGCAACGAACCGAACTGAGCATCATTGGATGAAAACCTAATTCGACGAGATAGAACCCTCCTCGACTCACCCGAGTCATCTCGAAGATGATGCGGAACTCTCACACCGATCCTCGAGTTTACATTTCCGAAGCATTTAAGTTTTGAAAACTTGATGAAATGAGAAGGTAATTGCAGTTTAAATTGCTTAGATCCGAAAAATTTTGGGTTTTTAAAGCTATTATGAGTAAAATTGCGACCTTGTCGATTCAAACAGAGCGTTGAGTTCATCTTTGCAGTAACAGCCGACTGCTGACTCGAGAAGCTGTAGCAGCCTTGATTATATACACTTAATCTTGTAAAATGACTCAGCTACCCCTTCCTTTCCTTGAAGTGTGGAAGGAAGAATCATAAATTTTGATAAAGTTAGGGATAAATTGGGAAGTTCGGAAAACTTGTGATCTTATTTATTATCAGGTGACAGTCAAATTGTTTCTTGATAACGGATTGGGATTCGTTTGATAAAGATTTCGTTTGTTTCAACAATGATTCCGACATGATATCAGGAAGGCAAAACGCTATCACTTATGCAAACAAGTTGGGAAGGCATTGCTATGCACGTACACGTTCTTCGGCCGTCGCGTGGCTTTACAACGAAACATCCCCTCTTGGATGGTGTACGTTGAAGTATAGGCCAAGGAAGAAAGAGAGCTAGCCCATTTATATGAACGGAGAGGGTTTCCTTATCCCGGTGATGCTGAGGCAATGGAAGAGTTCATTGCTAAGGGAGGCATGGTTGGAACTACGATTCGGCTGAAAGGGATAGTTGAAATAGATAAAGATTCGTTTAATTATCAGAAGGAGATGCAGAACAAGAAGTTTGAGCGGGAAGCAATGAAGCTGTGGCTCAGGACGAGGAATGATGTTATTTTGGAGCTTCAGGAGAAGGGTAAGATGTTGACGGAGTGATTTCTGCTATAGCATTCAGGTTGATGTATTCCTTAGTTTTTTTTTTTTTTTTTGGGGGGGGGGGGGGGGTTTGCATGGATTTCTTCGTATCTTATTTACAGACTGAGTTTCCTGGAAGATCCAAGTTATGTGTAGTTATCCATGTTTTGCAAATGTGCTTTGATTTTTACTGTAGTTAGAGCATAATCAAAATGGAGATGGATTGAAGGTGTTTTGTGCTTGTCTTGTTCACCTTTGCACTGGAATTTTTCCATTGGCATCACAATTTTCATGGCAAAAAAGTTATCAGAGAGCCGAACATGAACGTCGACAGCTTGCACGTGGAATTATAAAACTTGAGAGCTATCACAGATATGTCGTATTACAATCGGATTTGTCTGCTGGTGAAAGCATATTGCATAGAATAGACGAATATCATTGATCTTGGTATTTGGGAAGGCTGGTCCTTTTCGGGAAAGAAGTCGTCATAGAGAAAGGCATTTTGCTTATCTTTTATGCTCTGTAGTCTTTTCTGGGACAACAAGCAAGGTGGAAAATAATGTTTGCCATCAAAAGTTTTTGTTTTATATGTGAGAACTAATCATGCAAAGCGATGATTCCTATCATTCCATGTCTAAGGCAAGTCCATCTTATGAGAACAATGGGAACTTATCCAAGTAAGGTTCAAAAAGGGAAAAATAAAAGTACTTACCAATCGAATTAAAATTTAATTTAATTGGTTCATGCAAATCATCTTTAAAAAATTACATTTAACAGTTTTAAGAGTCGAATTTCGTACCTATAATTCTTTCCTTTATTCTCATATTTTTGCAACGGAAGAAAGTAGTTGCCAATCCATCACTGGAAAAGGGGGAAAATCTGAATAATTTGATTTCATTTCATGTAAATACTAAGCTACATTTCTGCAACAATTCTCACTATACTAACAATATGAAGATACTGCTCCATTTTTTCCATTGCTGCATTATTAGAAAAACATATGATTAGCACAAGAAAGCTGACCATTTGATGTGGTGTTTTTATTTTTAATCTATATAACAAGGAGAAATACATTCATACACGTTTTTACAACATAATCTCTTACTTTTGACAAATTTAAGAGTCATTACAGTACAATCCCACTTACAGTGTTTGAGTTTCTTGGCCTACTTCTTCCAGATTTGCTTCTCCTATAACTCCTCAATGGCGTCAAGTAGAACCGTAATAGCCCATTATCAGGGTTGTTAGGAGAATACCTGAAACTCCTATTCTGCAACAGCATAAAATTATCCCTTCTCTTCTCACCATCGCCTTTAGACTCAGTCACACTCATTCCACAGAGAGATGATCCATCGACTGAATTCCGAGCACTAACACTATACCTCCGCATAAGCTTCTGGCTTACAATACTCCTACTTGCATCTCCATTGGCTACCCTTCTAAAATCTGCAAAGATTCTGCTAGCGTCCCATAAGCCACATTTCCTCCTATACCTTTACCTTCATCTCCATTGGCCAACCTTCTCAGCTTTTGCAATGACTCCGCCAGTGTCCCTTCACCTACAGTTCCTCTAATATCTTCATCTCCATTAGCCATCCCCCTAAGCTTCTGCAACGACTCTGCTAGCCTCCCATGACCCACATCTCTTCCAATATCCCTCTCCTTATCTCCAAATTCACTCTGTTTTCGCCTCTGTATCAAACCCCAGATACTCCAAACATTTTTCCACCCCATTGTCTTCTTCAAATTAAAACCTTTTTGACCAACCCCTGCAGCAACAAAGTCAACATCCTTAGAACCAGATTCCATATTAGAATACCAATTGGAATCCCTCAATTCCTTCTCGGTAACCAACAGCTTCGCCCCGTGAAACAATCCAACAGTCTCAGGAGACACTTTAGCATTCAAAATCGAAGATTTAACTCCCTCAGCTTCCTCCAGGCTAATCTTCCTATTCGACGCTGACCGGTCAAAACTTCTCCTCCTTCGAGTCAAAGAATCCGCATAATAATCTCTCGTTTGAGCTGACCCACCAGGGTTACTCCTTTCTTCCTCTTTTACCACACTCAATCTCTCTTCCCCAGCAGCATTCCCTTCCTTGTTAACCTTTGGATTCTGCTTTCCAATCAAACAACCGTCCCAAGAAGCCCTTGGCTCATCAAAGGAAAACCTTGAATCATCAACAGATAAACGGCCAATATCAACTAATAATCGAGGATCAGTATCACAAGATCTTCTCCCAAACAACCCATATTCCCCGATCTCCGACTGAGTTTCTCTTAATCCCCTTTTGTTTGCCTTCTCAAGAACCAAACTCTCAATTTTCTCCTTCTTTTTCCTCTGTTTGTTCCCCCATTTCCTCAATTTCTTGCTAAAAACCGAAGCTGCTTCCCATAAAGATTTCCCTGAAGTTTCTTTGCTTCCCCATTCGAGATCTATGAATTCCTTCATCGTTTTTAACTCTCCTTCTTCTTCCTCTTCTTCTTCAAAGCCTTGAAAAGCTTCAACTTTTGAAGGATAGTGGTTGAGATTGGGGGTTTTTATTTTGTCATCGATGGCGAAAAGGTCGTGGAGGGTATTATGAGCCCTTCCGTCACAAGATTTACGGCGAGGCTCGGAGGCGGCAGAGGAGGAGGAGGATGGGTTAGGGCCGCCGGAGCAGGATTTGGACCGGCGGAGCTGGGAGGTTGAAGTGGAAGGAACAAGCGTCGTCGTGGGAGAGTTGTTTCGGATGCCAGCAAGGCGTTCCCGGAGACATGATGCGCAGAAGCCAGTGACGGGTGTGGTGGTAGGGTGGCAGTGGCAGCTGGGGAGACGGTGGCAGTGAGTTTGGGTCTGGAGCTGCAGAGTCATAGCTTGAGCACAAGCAATGAGCTCATGCTCAGAGAGAAAAAAAAAAAAATGATAGAATGTGAAACTGAGAGAGTAACACTACTCGGAAGAGAAAAAGAAAACCCTCGTTAAACCCTTTCTAATTTTGGGTTTTATTGTCTAATTACTATTTAAATAGTGGATTTATCTAAATTACCTCGTTTCATTTATATTTATATTTTTATTCTTTTCCTCCAAATGGTAATACATACTCCCCTTTCTATTTTTTTTATTAGATATCTTAAAATTATATATTTTTATTTTTTATATTTTAAAATTTTTTTATTTTGTAATATTAAAAACATAAAATTTTAATTTTATTGAAAAAAATTAATTTTAATATTAAATATATTAAAATTTAAATTTTTTTAAATTTCCTAAAAATTAATACAAAACAAAAAAATAAAAATGAAGAAATAGATTTTTGAACAAGTAAATGATAATATATGCAATCTTATAGTACATACAAAATCAATAAGGGGGCTCCAAATTATTGGTTGTAATCTAATCATAAGACACCAATTTGTTTTTTGCACTCTGAAGTTTTCTTCTAAAATAAATGGTATTCATTACAGAAATAAAATTTAATTATTAATTTTCTTAGTGTAGGCTGTAGGGACAAAATAATGGACCTTCAAAAATAAAATCAAACAAATAATGCAAAAAAGATAACCTTGTGCTACTACTTTATATATTACTATAAACCATTAATGAATGCCTTGCTCTACTGGTTTTTCATAAAGTAGGTTGCGGCCTTAAGGGGTGCAATAATATTTATAGGTGAAAAAAAATAAAGAAAATTAAATTTTAATTTAAAATTATAGTGTTTGATTTGAATTATTTTTTTATTTGATTTGAATTAAATTAAAATATTAAAAAATATATATTAAGTTTGGATAAAATTTTAAATTAAGATGTAAAAAATAAAAAAAATTTGAATCAAATTTAATAATATATTTTGATTAATTTTTATACATACTTAAAAATTTTATAAAAAAAAAACAACTATTTTATATATAAATATATTAAAAATTATAGTAAAATAATATATATAATTAAATTTAAAAAACAATGAATTAAACCGAATTATAAAATTAGATTATGATCAAATCGATTTTTTTAAAAAATCAATTTGAGTTTTAATCAAATTTTTAAAATTTATAATATTATATATTTGTTTTAAAAAATAAATCAAATACAAAGCCCATACTATTTTTCAAGCCGCCCGCTTCTAGAAAAAATTAGGCTAAACAGGCTTCAAATGAAGTCAAAGATTGATCCGCTTGATTCCAATGTCCATGTGTATTTTCAGGTCCAATCCAACCCAACCCGGTTGAATTGCCGGGGACTGCGATAATTCTTTTATCTGATAGCTTTCAGTTTTCACAATCTCCGCTAGAGAGCTAACAAAATCGAACATGGAAAGGGTCAAAAATTTCCTGGAACTAAACAAAGAGGAAGCAGCGAGTGTGTCCCAACTCACCATTCACCCTCACCGAGTCGGCTCCCAGTGCAGCTTCTACGAAGATTTCGCCTTACGTGGCATCCGTGTCGATCGAGTCGAGTCTGGCTTCGTTTCCTGCAGTTTCAAAGTCCCTCCTCGCCTCACCGTAAGCTATTCAAAAATTTCATCTCAAATTCCATGGAATTAGAATTATATGAGATTTGGGTTGATTTCTTTTCCCTTTTTTTTTAATAAATTAACGTTGACAGGATAAAAATGGAAATTTAGCAACAGGTGCTGTTGCGAATCTTGTTGATGAAGTTGGTGGGGCTGTTGTCCATGTCGAAGGTCTTCCTATGAATGTTTCAGTCGACATGACCATCTCGTTTCTCGGAACAGCTAAGCTCAATGTAAGTCAGCTTTGTTATGAGATTAATCAAGAATCTCTATGTCCTTTAATGTTGTGAGTTGCTTTGAATTTAGTACTAATAATTTCCATAATGCTTCATCATTTCTCAGAATGCATTGAATTTAGTGCTATTTCTTGTTTTGTGGCATGCTATTTGCTTTCCTGTTCGATTTTGTTACACAGTTTGATAATGAATTTGAGTCTATTGGGTTATTATTCACTATCTGAATTTGGACTGATTGAAAATGAAGAGTGTATTAGTATAAAGTTGTAACAAGGATGTGAGATTGAATCTCGCCCTTTCTTGAGGATTTTGATGTGTAGAGGTGGAAGAGGATCTATGACATGCCTCCTGTTGTGAAGCTGATGGGGGAAATGATAACATATTTTTCTATAATCCCACTGGTTTTTGATAATCAGTTCCATTCCGTCCAAGATTATGATCCTTGTCAGGCAGAACGAAGGGCCTGCCATTGATACTTCTTTTTCTTTTAGACTAGTTTAGCTGTTAGAGAATTTGGTTATACCTCTTTTAATATGATTCTGATTCCTGGGAGGCAATTTGCAGGATGAGTTAGAGATTACCTCAAAGGTTTTAGGACAAAGAGGAAGTTATTCGGGAACAAGTGTTCTTGTGAGAAACAAGGTAACAGGGGAGTTAATAGCTGAAGGTCGGCATTCATTGTTTGGTAAACAAGCTAGCAAACTCTAGTTCCATTCCAAGTTTCTGTAAGAAAATCCTTCTAGGGCACTGGTGAATGTTGTAGTACTACTTTGTACTGAACTGCTTTCTTGCAAGTATGTTATGTGCTTTTTAACTTCATAAAGATTCTGTATTGTGGCAAATGTGTAAGTTCTTATAACTTCTGTCACAATTTTTCTTTCATTATTGGTTGTTTGTGATAATTCAGATTATTGAGGGGATTCAAATTGGCACATGAAATGGAGGGGGAAACTAAAATTGTGTGGCCATTAGGGTCTTAAAGAACAATAGTTGCTTTAAATAACTTAATACCATTGCAAAAGCCAAAGGGTCAATGGTAAGCCCCATACACTCCAGTTGCATTTGTATTTCACTTTGTCACAGGAGACATGAGCTGACATTCTGTCATCTATCTTTCTCGGCCCCAACTTTGCATATGCCCTCCAACTTTGAGTTGGAAACCGTTGCATAAACCATCATGGATGGAAAATATGTAATGAAGTGGTTTTTGCTTTGTCATAACATATGCTCTCCAACTTTTTCATCATGTTTGGTTGTATGGTATATCACATTCTTTTGAAACATTAACATGAAGAGACCGAATTTCATGCATGATAAGGGGGGATATTCTTCTTCATAAGCAGCGAGAGAATAATTTACAGTTGCTTCAACAAGCTAACATTTATGATCAACGAAGAGTGCGCACTGCCCTTTTATATGTGTACCAAATGGCACTGAAGAAAAAAATTTTAAATTTAGAAAACTTAGCCATGTCAAGAGCCAGAAGAAGTTATCAACCTGACCATAATTTATGTTGTCTGGTATCCACCTGGGCTTCCCATTCTTAGCAGTCACACTGGTAACAATAGTTACAAGCAGAGAGCTCAAGTTGGCACCAAGAGCAACAGTAGTGAGTGACAGAGCAGAGCAGAAACTTCTCATTGCATCAGGTGCTTGTTCATAGAAAACTCCAACTGTCCAATGGATGTAAAAACCTCTGCACACCCTATCAGGAAATACTGTGGAACTTGCCAAAATATTGTCATAGGGATTTCCTTTAGTTCGTAGTAGTCGTGCGTTTCAATCATTTCCAGTCTATTATGTTCCAGAAGTCCTGCAACTAGCATGGCATATGTAGATATGAGGAGGCCAATTCCCATCCGCTGAAGTTGAGTTAGGCCATTCTTGTGACCTGTGAATTTTCTTGCCAGTGGGATAATTTTTCTTTCGTAGATTGGCCCCCAAAAGATCACACTGAGAATGTCGAAGATAGAAAGTGATACTGGTGGGATCCTGAAGTTAGAGTGACATACGCGAGTATCCATTCTTTCTCCTTGCAGCACAAATAAGTTGCCCATCTGACTGTAAACGGTATAAAAGATGATCCCAGAGGCCCGTATAGGGAGCAATCGAATGATAGCTTTCAGCTCCTCAACCACTGTAGCTGTGCAAAGTCTCCAAGGATTTACTGAGCCCTTTAATTGGTGTGTTTGAGTTTGCACAGCCGCTTTGTCAAAGAAACTGAAGATTACAGCCATAGCCCAGACTCCCAGAGGTAAGAAATTAAACAACAGTTTGAATATGTAACCAAGTGAAAAGTTGCCACATTTGTGTATTGAATAGAAATATCAAATCTGACTTGCAGAATTAGAATATCAAAGGAGATTTCCGGAAATTGAACTCGAAGGAATTTCTATATGTTTTTAATCTCTATCAAGGAATTTCGGCCTTTTAGCCATCAACAAACAATTATAAAATCTATTACAAATGGATTCTTATTTAAACTTAGACAAGCTAAAGAATTGTTTCTTTCCTACCATATTTCACTTAAATTGACAGATGAACAAATTTTTCTCCAATTCATTTTTGTGATTGTCTCTAATCTGTTTCCAAATTTAAGATTAAAATCCAGGCGCTGACCTGAGATTATTTATGTGGTCAATCTTGCGGCTTCCTTTGATATTGGACTCTGCATCTACTGTCTCATACAAAAGAGACTTATCAGCAGTACCGCAACATTATATTTCCTGATGGATGCCACCACTACTTGACAGAGGCGTGTGTCTGCTTCCAGGCTTTTGGTTTCGATATAAACGGGTACCTGAAAAGAAAAAGCAGACAGCTATTGCCATGGCTATAGCAGGGATGCCAAAACTCCATCACGGACCAGCACAGAAGCTGCAATAAGAGCACCAATGTTTATGGAAAGGTAGAACCAATTGAAGAAAGAACTCTTGTGTGTCTTCTCATTTTCGTCTGCGTCATCAAACTGGTCAGCTCCATAAGATGAAACACAAGGCTTAATTCCTCCTGTTCCTAGTGCTACCAGGTAAAGCGCTAGAAAGGCCATAGCGCTTTGTTTGTCTGTTAGATTGCAGTTATCTTCTGCATAACATTTTGGCAGTATGCCGTGGACTGATGCAGACAAAGCTAAAAGTGTCATCCCCTGTTCAAAAAGTAAACTTTTCTTGTCTCAATTACCTTGTTACAGGCTTCACAGTGTTGGTTAAAAAACTCAGGCCAATTTTTTGAGGGACCTGGTAATACTGGACTAAGCCAATCAAAGAATGGGGCACTAGGCTATAAATTGGAGAACACAAAATTTCCGGGTTTTCTTATCCTTCTTCTTGATACGGATTTAGCTTCAGCAATTTCAGTTTGTTGGTTTTTGTGATGTAATTCTGGTAGTACAAACTTCTTTATGAGATGCAGTCACAGTTATGTAACAACTATCAGGTGAGTAAAACTTACAGTGATATAGATGATGGAGAAACAGGCAATTGTCCAATATCTTCCTAGATAAGAATCTGCCAGAAATGCTCCAGATAATGATGTAATGTAGCATGTTCCACTCCAGTTCTGGTTATTTTTAGTGGCAACTGCGCTAGGCTGATTTAGCCGATGCTTGAAATAAAGCACTAGATTGGTGCTCATCCCATAGCATGCCAATCTTTCACAACATTCATTTCCTGTTGATAAATGCTCAAGTATGCATCCAATCTCAATCTTTAATTACTAATTTCAACTACGAGCTTTCATGATTACCTACGATATAAGGGCAGGCTCTCCAGGTTACAGTTTCCTTTTTATTAGCAGGATTTCCTATGTAATCCACTGTCCCATCTTTTGTGTAGATATTTTCCATTGCTTTCCAGGAATTTTTCTAAGCCTGGTTAGATGTAGTTTTGGAAATCACTCAGAAACAGAAAGACTTAGAACTTGAGATTGAAGCCTATATTCTTAAGGAATCATAGCAGTACTTAGCGACAAACTTAATACTCTAAAGATTAATACCATAAAAGACAAGATAAAGTTCAAACATCCACACACCAAGTTTCACAATCACCATAGAACAGACGTGAAGCTCCTAAGCATCATGCAATTGCTTCCAGAAAAGCTGTGTGCCTAATGATTTCAGGGGAAATGGAATTTGCTCTAGCACTACAATTGAATGGTAAAACTTGGATCAAGATACATATAATTCAATTATCATGGGGTTGTGGTCACATCTACTTAGAATGCAAAAATTCTGCATAAAGATCCCAAGGATGACTTGAGTTGCCTTGAATCTTTGACTTGCTTGCATTAATGATGAGAGGAGAGGGCTGTTGGAATGTGAAAGACTCTAACAAGGATCGCACCACATTCAACTGTGGGAATATGCATACAAAGAAACACGTTTCCAAAAAGGTAATGTCAGCTGGTTAAACTAAATCTTGAAGAATGAAGAAGCAGCATTCAAAACTCGGCCTTTTCGCTTTCACTAGAAAAAACAGATTCACAGCAAAACGGTCCGTCTGATTTAACAATTTTGAATAGTTAATATTCTAGTGGACCTGATCCTAGTGCAAGAAAATAATTTGCCAGCTAAAAGTTAGAGCTTGGCCATGGCACTTTTTCCTACCATAGATAAATCAGTTAAGCACGTGACAAAACAAAACACTGAAGATTGTGGTCAGTTCAAGAAAATAAAAGAACAGAGACATGCACCCTCAGTACTAATAAACAACTATCAAACAAGTTGCTTGGAAAATTAAAGAAACGTTGGTTTTTTTTCCTTACCTTAAGTTTCAAGCAGCCTTGAACAATGGTTTCTTCCGGCTCAATTCTTCTGAAATAACGAGGCTTTAGGCGAATATTTCTTCTATGACGGAAAGACCAGAGGAGATGCTTTGTTTACGACGAGGGAGAGCGTTGAGTATGTCAAGGAATTGCCTGTCTCTACTCCTAACTCCCTCTGTACATCGACACTCACCTTAAATTTGGAGGCTTAAATTTGGAGGTGTTATTCGTTTTGATCCAAAATTTTATGATTTTATTTAAAATAAAAATCTCATAAATTTATATTTATATATATATATATATATATATATATATCATGAACTGAATCTTTAAATATGAAATTAGAGTATCACAAATTTGTTTTATTAGACTTTCACAAATTCTTTCATTTAATCTTGATATCTTCATGTTAAATCCGACACAAAAAACAAACAAAATTATAATCACACCGTATATAGAGCTTAAGAATCAAAATCATATCATCATATCACAAGCAAAATTATAGAATTAAAATCATATCAAATGTTAAGTTTGACGTTTTCGTCAAATCCAACACAAAACACAAACAAAATCAAAATTACATCACGTACAAAATCACAAAATCAAAATTACATCAGACATTGAGATTATAAAAGTAACTCTTACCGTATAACACTTACTTTCTGTAATATTTTAAAGATAGCTTCACGATGTATCATTTAACTCTTGTACGATTAGTAACCACTTTGATATCATTTATAAAGATGCGTACTTAATTTGTAAAATATTATTTATTTTAATTCAAAAATTTTATGATTTTATTCTATAAAATATGTCTTACAAATTTAAATTTAAATCTCTACCTATATATTATAATATATTTTCAAAATTTTTCGAATATCACTGCTTCCAAATTCCAATGACCACTGCTTATGAACTTGAGTTTCTTCTTCAACGACAGATTAACAACCAATTAAGAATCATTGCATACATTTCATGGGGTGATAAACATATTTTTGGTTTTGGAATCATGTGAAAAAGAATTCTTTGCATTAACCGGTTGCCCCAATTAATGACAATAATATATTTTTTTTATAATAAGATCATGATATGTTCAGGTTTCATTCTTAGTTCTTTTTTATCTATATTTCAAACATAGGCTAATTGTGTTGTAACATTTTGTCTTGCTAGGCGAGTCTTTTTCCAACATAACTTTCAAACTCAAACATTGATAAATAATTAATTTTTTTTCAAAAAGTATTTTTAGTTATAAATTTTGAATAATATTTATCTCTAAATATCCTTTTAAATTTTTTATTTATTTACAAATATAAATTATTAAATTATCATGTCGATTAATTACATTA